TTGGTTGTTGCCCTCCCTGTTATTTTAGGATTATTATTTTACATTAGTAAATGTTGAACATATTCACAAATATCTCTTTCTGGTCTTGAATTTAAAATAAGTCAGATAATATTCTGCTCAAAACTCTTGTAAATTTTGCAAGACAGTAAAATGTGGTCCTCTGTTTCAAGGTCAGTAACATTACAGGAACAACACTGTTGTTGTAAACCCTCTTCTGTTTTACAAATTAAATTGGTAAGTGCAGATTCACACATCTCATTGAACATTATATGTTAGTTGAAATAACATTGAGGGTTAAACTCTTTTTAATTGGTGTTCTTGGATTGAAAGTTTTAAATTCCTATTCTCATAGGCCCAGTTTCTATCCCCAGAGTGAATAAAATGTTCTTTCTGCCTGACCATTGAAAGGCTTTTCCATTGATGTCTGTTTCCCATCCAAGAAAAGCTTTAAATAGCTTTAAATAATTTCTTTATGTTTGATGAAGAAGTTGGATTGGTTCTAGGCAGGCAGCGCAATCTAAGCTGGAATTCTCTATTGAAATTCCTAGCTAACATCATTTTTGCGGGTAGGGAACCTGACTAGAAAAGGCTGTTTTGGAATACTCAAAAATATACATCATGCTTACTATGTTTGCATTTCCTCCATTTCTTATTCAACTATATTACTCTTTTTGTACTAGAAGTAGAATGTTAAGAATTAGTTTAGAATTAGTTCTTTGTCTTCCATATATCCTAGTCACCATATATTATTTAAGAGTCTAAAATATTTCCTAGGATAGATCTTTTAAATAAAAACATTCTCACAGATTGAACACTGTGTTTTTCTATTAAACTAAATGTCATGCTTTGCATCTGAATAGTGTTCCAGAGGCTTTATTTAATTTATTTATGATCATATTTATATGGCTGTCCATCACACACAAAGTGACTCTGGGCAACATATTATTCCCAAAAGTTCTGTGTAAGACCAGGGCAAAAACATCTGCGGACTGATTATAGCCTGGTGTATGCTCTCGTGAAGATGCAATAAATTATGAGCTACAGACTTAGTTCATTTGTCTGAGATGCAATAATTTTATTTTGTTGAACACAATCTATCTTCCTCTAGATAGCTACATATACTTCCTCACAAGGTAGAAGCTGAGGAATAGTTTATTTTGCTGATCATTTTGTACTGGTGATGTCATGCTGTTTGGAAAGAACAGAAGTGAAGATGTAATTGCTGCTTCACAGGAAAATTGAAGAGCTGCCTTGAAGTCTGCAAGTTTTTAGGTTTGAGGGGGTCTATGAAGTCATCAATATTCAACAGCACTTACTTATCTCCTGATGCTGTGAAGCAGTGGTGGTATGCTACTGGTTCGGCCTAGTTCGGCCGAGCCAGTAGCGGCGATGAGCAGTGGAGACTGAACCGGTTGTCTCTGCCGCTCTGCTGTTGGGCCTACCTGCCCACCCGGGCTCCCATACTCAACTTTATCTTCTGCTTTTGAAGTGCAGCTGCTTTGTGTGGCACAGAAGAGTGCCTTGTGGCAGCTGCTGAAGCAACTGGCAGAGTGCAGGCTTCCAGGAGGTGAGTTGGAATGCTTCTGTGCAGGGGTGGGATTCAAATTTTTTAACAACCGGTTCTGTGAGCATGTCTTAGTTGGTGGGCGTGGCTTGGTGGTCATGTTATTGGCTGGGCATGGCCAACTCAATATCACTCACATCGAAGCACGCATCTCCTCGCCTGGCCTCTCATGACTGTGGGGATACTGCAACAGTCGTAAGTGGGGAAAATGGTCATAAGTCACTTTTTTCAGTGCCATTGTAACTTTGAATGGTCACTCCACACAAGCAAAGTACCAGCAAGGAGGGGAAAAAAACTCCAGAGAAGTTCCTGAGACAGGAAGTCTAGTCCTGCCAAGTATGTAATAATGGTTAACGGAGAGGTAGTTTCTGTAAGCAACACCAGAATGTTTCCTTCCTGCCTTCCTGACAGGATTAGGCCAGTAATTTCTTCTAACAACTGGTTCTCCGAACTGCTTAGAATGTTAACAACTGGTTCTAGCGAATAGGTGCGAACTGGTAGAATCCCACCCCTGCTTCTGTGCCTTCGCAAAGTGCGTGCTTGGCGCACACATGCTTACAAAGTATGTGCACGCATTGAAAGCATGCCCACCAAGTCACGCCCACCAAACTGGTGGTAAAACTTTTTGAATCCCACCACTGGAGTGAAGGTTTATGAAGCTCCCATATATATTTATATAAAATTATTAATCTCAGTTATTTAGCAGTTTTTTGCCAAAAGGATTTCAGATAAGAAATTTTCTTTGTTGCTTGTTTCCTTTTTAACTTGATCATACATGGAAACTATTGCATTTACAATTCATATGATTATTTATTTATTTATTTACATGCTCTTAAGTGGGTTGGCAAATGCAGACTGGACTATTGAGTGAAGCTCCATCAGTCTCAACAGTTGATTTTTATATATTTATTAGATGCATACCACGCCATCTATGTACTAGTCACTTTGGCTTCACATAAAAACAAGATACAAAGAAGCAAGATTAAAAAAATACATTAACACTGAGAGCATAGTTAAAGAGTGGCAAAATAATATTAAAAGCCTGTTAAATAGAATTATCTGTCTAAAGCAAAATATGGAAGAGTTAATGAAGCTTTCCTCTTAATGTAATTGCAGTCAAAAGTGGGAAGGACAGCTGTAGCAATCCTTAATCATATATACCATGCTATTATGTTTTTTGGGTGTGGGGAGCCCCTAATATCTGAACCATTTCAACTTTACATTGGGACTGAAGTGTTTTCAAAGCACTTATCTCCTTTTAACACCTAATCTCTCACAAAAGAAGAAGAAGGATGCTATTTGTGCAGTGTCATCTTGCCTTATCTGGCCACAAGGGGTTTGCCGCTCCTTCATGGGCTCGGGCATATAAGTGAAATTCTACAGTTTGCCATCCCAGTGGAACTTCATTAAGGAAATTGGATTGCTGAGAGAAATCTGATGGCAATTAATGTTTCTGAAGATGCTTTGTAGAAGCAATTTGTCTCTCCAGTTATTATTCCTACAGGCAATGCCACTGGCGGCTTAGTAGTAAGAGACAAGTTCTTGCTAGAAGCACAGGTAGTTGATAGTTTCCTGATTTATTCCCAGATTAACTCATATGATGGAAAATGATTTGTCTGGCAGCCCATATTAATGTGGAATTGGGTTGATTAAAATTTGGAATTTATTGCAAATTAAATTACAAATAGGAGTACTTAATAGGAGGGGGATTTAATGAAAGTTGCCCTAGCTTTTTAGTGATGAAACAGTAATATGCCCCAAGTAGATCAATTTCTAGTGTGCCATTTTGTTTCATTCTCAACCTCAGGACTTTCAAATAGTGCCAAGAAACTTTGATACAACTTTAATTTGATGTTATGTTGAATCAAGTAGTCTTCAACTTACAATCATTCATTTAGTGACTGTTCAAAGTTACAGCGCCACTGAAAAAAGTGACGTGAGACTGGTTCTCACGCTTACAACTGATGCAACATCCACACAGTCATGTGATCAAAATGTGGATGTTTGGCAACCATCATGTATTTTAAATGATTACAATATTCCAGGGTAATGTGCCTGCCATTTGTGACTTCCACAGTTGGCTTCTGACAAGCAAAATCAATGGGGAAGCTGAATTTGCTTAACAACTACATGATTCATTTAATAACTGGAGCAGTTCACTTAGTAAAAAACTTGTAAAATCAGGCATGGCTTATTTAACAACCACCTTATTTAGCAATGGAAATTCTGGTCCCAGTTATGGTTGTACGTCAAGAATTCCCTGTATCCCATTGTCTTACAGATTTATCATGGAGCCAGATCAATTCCTACCTTCATTCCAAATTCCAAAGCAGTGGTGATACCTTCCTGCTATGAGGACTATTGTGGCCATGCATCTCCATTATTTTTCCTGGTTTTGTGTTCACTGTATTGCCCTGCGACCTCTCATTCAACTTGCACAAGGTGTCTGGCAGCATCTTTTGAAACTAACACTTTTATCTAAGGCATAAGCTATGATTAGCCACAGCCCACTTCATTAGATATATGGAGTGATATGGATTTAAATACATTAGAATGGGAGGGAGGGGGAGGGGAGGAGGGGAAAAAAACATTGGGTTTAGCAAGCCAGTGCTTGTTTTTGAAATGTGTCTGGAGAAAAAAAGATAAAACATCACTTGAAATTATACGGAGCATTGTAGGGGCTAAAGAGTTTGGAAGAAAGAGCTTTTAACAATTTGGCATCTGGTTTTGACTGGCAATACCTGTTACAGCAGCCATTTTGTAAGCAGCAATTCTTTTATTGTTCATAGCATTATTTTTGGTGCAAGCAGCTGGTCTCAGATGAGTTCAGTGGCACTGATTATGTTTGAGCAGTGTGACTTTGCAAATTTTCATACTTGCTGTTAATTTTTGCTGGCCTCTATTAATGCTATTACAAAAGGCCAACACTCCCATTTAATTAACAGATTAATAAATCTGGTTGTTGAAATGGAGTATATCTTCAATAAGAATTGGGCTTTACACGCTTTAGATGATATTAAATTGGTCCTGTTCTTGTTTTGTAGAAACAATTTTCAATAAATCGTGTAGATGCCCTTGTTGCAATTTCCCTTTATCTACAATAAACCATCTTCTAAGTGGCTACAACTATGAAATGGCTTAAAAGCCAAACTGAAATATAGCAAATTCAAATTTCCTGATTGTCTTTTCTTCCTGCTCCCTCTCTGTTTTGACACAATTAGTTTAAACAAAAATGCAAAAAACAAACATGATTTAAACTTTCCAAGTGATAAAACTGTTGATTGATTATGTGCTATCAAGTCAGTGTCAACTGGCTATTCATCTGTCAACTGTCAATTCTCATTCTTCGGTCTTCCAACAGGGCAGTCATGGACACTGTAATTGAGTCCATCATCTTAACTAGTTCTTTTCTTCTCTCCCCTTCCACCTTTACCAGGATTGCAGCCTTCTCTAGAGAACTCAAATCCAAAGGTGCTTTTTCAAGAAACAACTGGACTTTCTAGATCACTAAGGAGTTGGAGATGTGCTTTCTGCAGGATGTTTTCTGCTCTGTGTCCCTTTCCTGTTGAACACAGTGTTGTGGATGAGTCTGTCCTGTCTGTATCTCAAACTGAAGCGCAAATGGTTCCTGTAGTCTGCAATTTTTCTGGAAATCCATTCATATTCCCCCACCATTTGAAGGGTGTTCATCCCAAAGTATATCGCTAAATGTCTATGGAGATTCTCAGTCATCCAGGTCAAGGTTGTCCCAAAGGTGCTTTTTCAAGAGACAACTGGACTTTCTTGACAGGTTTTTCCAGAAAGCCCAGTTGCCTCTTGAAAAAGCACCTTTGGGACAACCACGATCTGGATGACAGAGAATCTCCATTGACATATAGAGAACTTGATCTTCATATAATGGGCCCAAAGCAGGGCAATTTGAACCTGGTCATTTGTGCCTCAAGTGAAAACTCTGGGTAGGTCTGTCTGATGATGATCCATTTACTTTTTTTCCAAAGTTCAAAACAATTCCATAATACAGAAAGACATAACAAAGAATGGAGGAATGCCAATAATCAACTCTTTTAATTATAGAACTGAAGCAAAGTTTTTTGGATAGCCATCCTTTATTAAGGTGAATCCTTTTAATAGAGTGTATATAGTCATTCTTAATCTGCATATTAGTTCAAGGAAACAAATTTTGCAAAATTCTGTTTGATCCCTAATTTTTATGTCTCATAGCATAGCCTTATTTTTAATTGACTAATAGAGTGGAGCTGTCCAGACCTGCTGTAGATATGACACTGTGGTATTAAGCCTTTGGCAGTATTGAGTAATAGGCTGTTTTAGCCTTAACTGTTATATAGAAAGGTTAGAAATATCATTGGCTGTAACATTTTGAAATAACAATGTATAAATCATGACTCGAAAAGACAAATGTTACAGTCCAATTCAAAGTTAAGCATGCTTTGCATCACTGATTTTATTTCAGCAAAAGTACTAAATTCTGTACTAGGTAGAAAACTGTATATTATTGGCATTATCTTTGAAATTAGTTTACATTCCTCTAATAGCAATATTTAAAAAAATACAGACAGTACAGAAAATATCAAATGGTTTATTGGGAACAATTATTTATTTTATTTTATTTTTTATTTAGTTTTATCAACTTCGCTAAGCATTAGTAATTTCTAACTTATTCATTCCTGATTTTATTTTTAAAAAATCTGACTTCTTAAGAAGGTTTCTTCTTAGCACATGTAAAAATGTTTCCTGATTGTCAAGAGGTTTTTTTTAATCAAAAGAATAAAGTTAATATTTTTCTGCAAAGTGGACTTGAACTGCAAAATGAAATGGGAAAAATATGCATAGTTTGATTCCAAATGTAGCAGATGTCCCTTTTATCCCAAATTCTGCCACTAATTGCTGCTGAAGTCTTTGTTTTTGGTTAGCTACCTATGAATATTCAGCACCAAAGTTTGGAGCAATGCAATATATCATGTCTTCAATCTGGTTACATCCTATTTATTTAGTGTATTTTTCGTATGCACTTTTACAATATTCATAGAATAAAATTACCCTTCTTGTACATTCTGAATTATTAATTAATGGCCATGCTGATGTTCTCCAGCAGACCCTTTTTTAGCTGCCCTTCCCTTCTGAAATAACATAATTTATTGGCTTCAGACATCATGCACTTCTATTGGTGAGAATTTCATTCACTTTAGTTGCTTTAATTGAATGCTAACTGAAAATTCTGCAGCTTCCAAGATATCTGGGCAGCAGGAGCTAAAGGAAAGCTGACGTCTTGGTTATAGAAGAAACCTGTATCCATCTGGCTGAAACCCAGATAGCTACTTGGCCTAATCTCTGGGCATACAATGGATTTTTGTCTCCCTCTCCCTCAACTTTAACATTACATGTAATAACAAGAAACTGCTTCCAAGAGTACAGAATTTCAAAAGCAATATGACATGCTCTGTTGGAAGTCCAAATCCCTACTGAGTGTATAGAGATAACTGTGTGGTTCTTTATCACTCTAATCACTACCAAAAATAACATCATTATAATAGCTCTGACTAATTTTGATCATTCAATATGATTTTAATGGCTTAGCATTCTTCTGGGATTCTCTCTTCTATTCCTTAAAATAGAATCTTATTTCGACACTAAAATAGATTCAGCTTCTGATAAACATGCCAGTGATTGAATATCTGAAGTAGGCAGGACTAGCTACATTCTGAAGTTCATTCAGTAGGAGCTCCAAATTCCAGAAATCTGAGAGCACATTGAGGAGATGTTCTTCGGCTATTTCTTTCTCTTCTTCACCGATGGTTTTGTGGGCATGGTTTCAGGAAAGGAGTGACTAATGCTTAATGTACCTCAGGGCATGGTGGAATGCAACTGACAGTGTTATTACAAGAAAGCCTAACAGTATCGGCACTGCCATCTTTAATATTTTCCTTCCCACTTAATTCTTTTCAATAGCAAATTTTATTAAACATCACAGTTATAATGATAAGCTAACTATGATTATGAAAAAGTCTAAAAGAATAAGAAAAAAGTACAGAGAAAAGATAGAAAAATAGAAAAGTACTAACAATGTAGTAAAGAAGAGGAAAGAAATAAAGAAATTACTTCCCCCTTCATCACAACAACCATTTTAGCACTTTTAACCTTGTCTTAAAATACAACAAACGATATTTTCTTCCAATATTCCATCTCTTTATAAAGAAATATTTAAAACCTCATTATTCACTCCTGGCCAAAAGCAAAAATAATTATTACCAGATATAACAACTATTTTAACCTTGATCAAATAAATCATATTCCTTTATATTCCTTCCTTTTCCTTTAAAAATTGTAGTCCTTAAGCCCTTCAAATGAAGTCCTAGAATTTGATTTCATTTTGGTGTTGTATCTTCTCAGAAAATTCTTCAAAACTTTAATAAGCCTCTAGTAAACTCAGCATGGGAAAGTTATCAAGGCCATTTTTGGGATTGTTATTTGTATATCCCTTTAAATTATTAAAACATCAGCCATATTAATTTGTATGTCCTGTGTAGCATCTTTTTCCATATCATTCTTACACCATGTCATTTTTAAATTCACTTTCATATCAGTCTCACTTTTAAAATTAATTTCTGGATCCATGGTTCACAAATATCTTCCAATATGAAAAATTGGAAGATATTCCATTCCTTTCATTCTGCAAATGGGTTCTTCTCCTTTAACTCTAATATTTAGTTTCTTCTGGTTCCCTCTAATGTCCAACCTTCTAAGTTCAATCCTATATTTTTTTTTAAAAAAATGAAAACAGCATTTTCCCACAGGGATGGTTGTTATAATTAATATCAAAATCTTATTTCAACTTCCTCTGGACATGTAGTTCATTTTTAATTTTCTAAAATCAATGTTTTGATTATCCTATTCCTGTTTGTTAAAACAAATTGAATTTAAGTCCTTAAACCTATATTAAAAACCTTTGTGCCTAAGGATTGAATAAACTCACCAAGTTAGTATAAACTCACCAAGTGTTGTAACATATCTGTCTCTTCAAAGATTCCTAGTATCTGAAAAGAATTAACAAGCAATTTTCAAAAGCGTTTAGAAGCAGAAACACAGTGCCCATAAAAGTTCCAACCAAGTTTTGGATGGAGATGGTGTTCTGTTGACCCCAGAGCTCTAAATCTGCTGGAGACAGTGGTCATCTGGATTCCACCTGAGAACCCATTGCCTGGAGCACTTGTGGGTAATCCCAAACCATATCTTTATCCACAGAGTAATTTCAAAGTCATCTTTAGTTTTCCATTTCTTCCCTGGAAGTGCTCCTACTTCTGAGAGTGTCTATTGGAGGCTATCAGCTGAAGTTAGTATAACGTTTGAAAGCCTTTCCACACTTGGATAATAACAGTCTTGAATTGCATGCAGTTGTTCATAATATTCAGGCATCCCTGTCAACTGTGTTTCTCAGATAGCTCTGCTCAAAGAGGCAGTGAAAATGTGCAAGACTTGAAAGCTTCACAAGAAAATGAGTATTTCAGCTATTTATGGTGTTATCAGAATGTTATGGAAGCTAGAGATTTCTTGAAGTCTTTATTCTTTCCCGTTTTGACAAGACTTCTTTTCTCCCTTTTACTACAATAGAGCCAGGTTTGCATCAAAACTGAAGTGGACAAATGCATTACTGTTATTAATTTTTACCTTTTTGTAAATCGGTAAAGCTCTATTTTTCTTGGTTTTTCATTTCTGTGACCTATCAAGTTTGATATGTCTAATTGGAAGTGGTTTTTAAAGTTCAAATCCTGAAAATGATGCCCCTTTCTCTGGTGTAAGCCTTTATGCAATGTTAATAAATAAGCTCAGAAACTTGCAAAAGTTTCTATAGCAGAATACATTCACTTTTATGAATACATGGATGTTTATGCAAAATGTTTTACATTTTTCTAATGTAATTTGCAAAAAAATAGCAAATAGCCTTTTTCATATCATCTTAAAAATGCAAATTAAATATATTTGCATTGTAATACAAACCTAACATGTTTTTCCCATTTCTGGTTGTAACCATGCAAGTTTCAGATTATGCTCTTTACCCTGTACATTTAGGAATTCAGTAATTAAGAGAATTTTTATCACCTTGATGATGAGAAATACCAGACATCAGACCTTTTCTGGAGATATGATTTAATTCTTCTGATTGGGATTTTGAACTATCTTCATTCTACCTCTAGTCAGGAATGTAAAGATCAAATTCATCATTGCACACAGTTTTAATTTGGATGGTGTGACCTAGCACAATACTGAAATGAGGCTTGTTCTGTTCTGTACAGAACATCAAATGATGCTGTATTATTTTACAGATACAACAGTAGAAGTGGAGGATAATGAGCAAAGGCAGGAGTACATTCATGGTGTAGGACACAGCAATGAATGGCTGGCATTTAAATCAAAACACAAAGGAGGAAGCATAAAGAAACTGAGAAATAGGAAAGTAATGTACAAAAGCAACTCAATTCTTAAGGTGTTTGTAACTTAAGATGGAGAAGGAAGGAAGAACTCTAAAAAGGTTTGTGATGCAAAAGCTTTTCCATTGAAACTGAAAGAAGGAATGCAAATCCTTCCATCCTCCTGAATTAATATAGGGATTGTTCTGTTTTCTGAGTTTATTTGAGTACAAGAAAATAAATTACCTCTTGATTTATAGTTAGCACAAATTGTGAAACAGGACTT